ACTGCTAAATTAGGGACAGCTAGCGCAGATAGCCCTCGTGTAGCTTTGCGCGAAATTCAAAAAAACAAAAACAAACAAAAACGTTTATAATAACCATTTAAAGAAATCCACTTTACGTCCAAAACACCAGAATAGCTGTTGGTTGTAACATCAATAAACTTGTAACAACATTTTATTTTATGACATTTCTACTTCTAAAAACTTATACAAGGAATCACCAATGCATTTATGATATTCATAATTCTAAGTCGTATTAGTATAAACATGCTCAGATAATGGTAGATTTTTATAGAACTAAAATAATCATTATATATAGGTTATATAAAACAAATATTTCGTATTTTCATTCTGAACGATAAACGAGTTAAACGGCCTCTTCAGATACCCCAAAGTTCAGGCACACCAGCCACTCAGTTTGAGCCGCTGACTAGATGGACGGCAACCAATTAGCAGCACCCGTTTGCTTAATAACCTAATATGCAGGGTTGGCTGTCATATTTATAATGCTTGCCAAACTAAAAGTGAGGAAAAGTTTAATGAGATATCGCAAGCTCGAACTTTGAATCTTTGGAATCGCATGCTCGACGCTAGATAACGCTCGCCCTCAATTAAACGTTTAAAGCTAAGTAAATTTATGCACATTTTAGACCAAAATACACTTTATTAAAGACATACCCTTTTCTTGGAATATACTTGCACTTATGAAATTTGAGAATTTTAAATCTAAAATCCGGAGACAAATGAATGCTATTAGTGTAACACCAAACACAACGTAATGTAAGAAAGCTAATTAATTGTACACATTTGTAAAAATCACAATTTTCTGGACCTGATTTCGACAAAACATTAGAATAAATGAGCATATATGTAGCTCCAAAAATAAATTTCGCAAGCTAGAAAATATGAATTGGTATATTCAGAAAAAACAAACAAACTCAGTTAAATTTATTATGACTCCTTAATACTTTGTTGCCCTCCCACGACACATCACTGAGAAATTTTTCAAAATGTGTTACAGTTATGTTTTCTTATTCATTGCATAAATTTAGACTTGAGTTTCTGTAAGATTTTTTTTTATTCTAGATAAGTTATGTTTATAAAACTTACCCGAAAAAATGTCATGGTAGAACCTCCTTCTAATGTTCCATAGGCAATTTTACTTTGTATAGCAAGATCCTCTACGCTCTCAATAGGGGTTATCATTCTTTCCACCGTAAGAAAGGCAGCTAAGTTTGCTGTATAGGAAGACACCAAGATTAAAGTAAAAAACCACCAGATGGCGCCTATAATCCGGGTTGAAATAGCTTTGGGGTTAATTTCTGATCCTTGGTGCATTAGTGTTACAATCATGAACCAAAAACTGTTACTGAGGCTAAACTGATTTTCCATGATGTCATTCTCCGAGATGCATGGATGAGGATTTTTCCATTCATAAGGACTAAACCTAGCTACTATGAACATGGTGCAACTAACGAGGATATAGGCTGCTAGCACGTAGAGCCAGATGTCTACCGCTAGAGGGCTCATGAAGGAGAACAGCTTGACTGGCATGCTGGTTGGGAGTTTAAATAAGATTCCTATTCCCAGTGTCATGAAGGGCTTTGTAAAGTCGATGACACTTTCACGAGCATAATTGATGGTCATAGAGGAAACAGCCAAATCGGCATTCTGTAAGCGAAATCAATATTTATGACTTTTCCACACAAAAAAATAGCTTCACACCAAAATATTATTTTTATATATTTATAACTTACATTAAAGCAAAGTTGCAAAAGTTGAAGTAAGATTATAGAGCTTTTATATGATGATATAAAATAGAAATATGTAATACGAATGTTTTAACTTAGAATTTCATTACAAACAGAAACGACCAATTTATACGATATTTAAAAAAAACAGATCCACAAAAAACTGTAACTATAATTTTATGAAAAAAAAACAGAAGTAATCAAAACTATATTTACAATAAAAACCAAAAGAATCGCAATTAGAAACAGAAGCAGCCAGAGTTGCTTATTCGTAAAGAAGCAACGAAATCGATACCTCCAAAGCTATTGAACCTATATATATGCAAACAACAGGGGTCAAATCTATATGCACACACAGAAACTATGAGATTTATATGTTAAAAAAAGGAAACGCGTGCACAATAAGTCAGAAGCGTATGTACAAATATGAAAAACCAGAACTATTTGTACAATAGAAGGAGCCTTAGCTATAAACTAGAATTATAGGCAACAATAGAAAAGACTAAAATTATGTGTAATTCCGTTAATATATCAGAATTGTGCCCAGAAAAAGAAACAAATACAAAAAATATGTTTATAAATAGAAGAAAAAGAAATATCTTTAGAAGGATAAAGAGCCAATACTATACAATGTGCAAACTGAAACAGAACTTTATACAAAAACAGAAGCAATGGGAACTGCATCTGAAAGCGGAAGGAATGCAACCTATATGTACAAATAATATTAACCAGGTCTACATTTTAAGACATGAAAAGAAAGTATAAGTAAGTAAAATATTCATTGACACGCTCGCAAAAAAACTGACTTATAAGTAGAACCACTCAAAATT